GATGGCTGTGTCATAGGGCGTCCCCAGGGTGTTCGGTGACTTCCGGGTGCTCAGGCATGCCACGACCCGAATAGGCCCAGGTCCGATATGGATAGAAAAACCGCCGCTCGAGAGGGGGGAATTGAGGGTCAAAGGACGTTCGATAGACCTTCCCTTCGGGGGAAAGTTCTCTGCGAGGCCGGCCAGCCGGCTTGTCGATTGATGCGCTTCACTCCACTAGTGCCAACGCTTAGGGATAAACGTTTTGCATCATGCCGGAGCGCGTCGAGCGGACCTCCGAGGAGATCATCTCAAGTCCATGCCAACTCCGGGATTCCGTTCCGGACGGAGTCAGTTCTCGTGTGAGCCTGGGGGCTAGGACACAAGAGATCATCCGGCATGGAGACCTTCGATCGTCCACTTTCTCTGCGAGATATCGGCTGGAGGATTGTGAGCCCGAGGAGCGTGTGGATGAGAGGGCTATCGGACGTTCTTCGATGCCTGCTAATGATTCCGACGAAGAACACGAAGATATCAGCAAAATTGACTTCTTTACTGACGAGTCCCTCTGAGAACGACAACAGAATCAAATAAACCGGAATTGACCTAATTGAACGACCGTGGAAGGATTTCCAACCGTCGTATCTTTGGCTTGATTATTTTCATCCGTCCTCCCAACTCTCGCATATAACAAGATTCACGCAGTCGGTGCGGTGATCCAGTGGCGAGTAGGACCACTGAAAGGACAGGCCATCACCGGGAAAGGAAATCTGACGAAGGAAATCTGAGCTCGACTGGAACCAGGAACGGATGCCGCGGACAGACGAGTACCCGTCATCTCAGAGAGGATCCGAGACGACTAGGCTGACACTGCAATAAGGCGGTCGAGAACATCATGGAAGAATGAGCTTGGACCAGCGAGCGTCATGAGTAGGGCTGAGAAAAATATGCCTTAAAAATCCGGAAATATGCATGCGGTATGCGCTAAAAAAGAGGCAAAATATGCATTACGATATGCGCTACAATTGGCATTATTTTATTTATTTATTCTGAGCGTTCTTTTCGAACATTGCACTATTTTGCTCGTGCGACCGCCGTCAGCGACGGATGAGATGCCGCGCAGTCTAGCGCGTGGTGTTTACAGCATGACATGTGACAATATGTACATATACAATTCATGTCCGCTTCGTGGAAGGTTGTGTTGGTACAGAATTGATGATGAAATCCATGAACTATCAACCTCGTGTAGATGTGTCGCCTCTTATTGAGTGCGCCGTCCCAGAGCTTCCTGTCTGTGTATATTCGCAGACCTTCCGCCTCCCTCGCTGCTGCATCGGTTTTCTCCTTCCATTGATGGACGAAGGAGTCGAATGCCCGCGTGTTTTCGGCTCTCAGTTGCCTCCGTAGCTCTTCAGTGATCGGCGGCCGCTGGGTGAATACATATACATAACGTGACTTGGACGTTGGGGGAAGACAAAGTACTCTTTTCATGAAGAGCGTGTAGGAGCGTTCCAAACTTTTGAAGTTGGCTACTGTGAGGTGCTTCCATATTCGTTTCAGTCCGTATGACAAGACCGGGACGGCCTTCATTTTGAAGAGGCGATCCGCTATGTCGAGTGGGAGATCTCGTGGCCCGTCCACACCCGAAGCCATCGCTGTCGTTGCTCTCGCCGCCGCGAACTCCACGTGAGCTGAGAAACTCGTGCCGGCGGTGGTGAGGTGCAAGCCGAGATACTTCGAGCTCGGTACGAACTGGATCGGTTCCCTTCTCCAGTGCATCCTGTCGGTCTTAGCTAGTCGTCCTCCGTTCCGGAATTTAACAACACATGACTTCTGCGGATTCAGATCTAATCCAATTTGTCGGAGGTATTCACCAACGATGGCGAAGACCTTCCTGAACATGGTGGCGTTATGATGAGCCACAAAAATGTCATCCGCATACAGGCAAATGACCGCATCCTTCGACTCCTCTCGGACCCTCGCGGGCAGGTCGGCTAGGAGGAGTGTGAAAGCGATACAGCTCAGCGGGTCGCCTTGTGGCGTGCCTCTGTTCTGCCTCACAATGACATCCTCCGACCCAGTCCGCACCATGAGTGTGTCTGTGTAGAAGAAGCTTTCGATGATTTTCAGGAGCTGTCCGTTCACTCCGGCCTCGGCGAAGGCATTTACCATTGCCTGCCTCGGAACACTGTCGAATGCTTTACAGCAGTCGATGAACCCACCGTAGAGTTGGGCCTGGTTTCGACGGGCCAGCCCCCTCTCGATGGCCGACATCACAACGTGAATTGCGTCGTTCGTTGACACGCCTCTCCTGAACCCGAATTGTTCTGGAGGCAATCTGTTCTCGATAGATGTTTCGAGTCTACTTATGATGCCTTTGAAGAACACTTTCTTGAGTGTCGCTTCGCTGGCTATTCCTCGAAATTTATTCATGTCATCTCTCGGATCTGACCTGCCACCCTTGAATAGCAAAGTCAGCCGGCTGATGTGCCATGTGTCCGGAATGCATCCTTCTTCCATGATTTTGTTGAAGAGAGAACTTATCAAAGGCACGAGTGCGGCTGCCCCCATCCTCCAGTTCTCGTAGTAGATACCATCAGGTCCACAGCTCTTTCTCATTGGTAGGGAATTTAGAATAAATTCAACTTCCTTCTCTGTCCACGGCGCGTTCATCAACCATTGCTCTAACGTGAGCGGCAGAGTGATTTGCGCGGCTGGCGGGGGAATATCTTCTTCGAAAAGTAAATTCTTGAAGTGTCGAGTTATCTCTTCTGTACTCGCGGTACATGTCGTTTTCTTCCGACATTTTTTCAGTAGAATGTGGGTTTTCTTTTTCGCTTCAGCTAACATTTTCTCATGTTGCTTCTCGCGGTGCTCGCTCTTGCGATGCTGAACTAGATGATGGTACCGTTTCCGTAGAAAGCAGTACTCCCTTCGGTACGGCCCTCCTTCAATTTTCGCCTTCCGTAAGGCCAGGAGTAGCGCTCTCCTGCGCTCTTTGCATTCCTTGTTGAACCATGGTCTTCTTTTCGCCTTGTACGGGCGAGGAAGAAGTTGAGCTTTTTGAACGAGGCGAACTAGCTCTTGTTCAGCTTGATTCACGTCAGCCGTTCTCATCTTGCCTGAGATCTGTCGTGACTCTTGTTCTTCGTCTAGAATATTGTAATCCATGCGCCGAGTCGGTCTGAGCTCCTTCTTCTTCGGGGTTTCCCGAGCGGTGATGCTGAGTACCACTGGTAGATGGCTTTTAATTGGCGCCTCCACTACCTGGCAGGCAATCACTCGGTCAAGATGTGACACGAAGAAGAGATCGATGGTGCTCGATCCGTTGTAGCAGATATTCGTCACGTCATCCGCGTCATTGGCTAGTGTATAGTCTAGCTCATCTAAAGATTCTCGCAGGACGCATCCTTTCGAGTCCTTTGCCTGGCTATCCATTCGACAGTTGAAATCCCCGGCAATCACGGTGAACGTTCGGGTGTCGATATATCTGAGCGTCTGTGTCACTGTTGACATTACTTCGGTGGACGTGAGGGTTGGTTTCAGGTAGAAGAGGGCGATTGTCAAGTCAGACGTCTCCAGCACCAACACATTCTCCTCCCGATGGATCACCTTCGGACGTCGTATGCAGGCGCTGGTGTATATGCTCACTCCACCCTCTGGTCTACCCGGACCCTCTCTGGTTCTTGCAAATGAATGATGTCCTAGAAATCCTTGGATTTCCACATCTTCTATACTGAATGTTTCTGTGAATAATAGTATCTGATGCTCCGCTAGAGTTGTAGCGTCCTCGATTCGCCCGAGGGTTCCTCTGAGTCCCTCCACATTCCAGAGAAGCAATCGGTGCTGGGTAGCCGAGGCTCTCCCGTTGGCGCTGCTTGTAAGTCACTTCGATGGTGCAGTTTCCAGGATCTTCTCAGATACCGGGAAGAATCCACTCCATTTCTTCACCCTCATGAACTTCGGGTAAAATTCGGGACTCAAACATCTTTCGAAGTCTGCCGGGTTAAAGCTGACACAGAAGGATGATCCGCCTCTTTCCACTTTTAGTTTAGAGACTCTCTTTGGTTTGCTTCCTTTATGCGTAAACCATTCTAATACACTGGTCGCGCTGGCCTTGTCATTCAAGCCGTAGAGGAAGATTGCAGGTGGCCTGCGTTTCATCCTCCTGCGTCGCTCGGAAGTTCCCGGTGGCATCAGCGCTTGGCTGAGATCGTCGTTCTCAGCTGTTCCTTTGACAACAGCTGACTTCTTGGTCGGCTGTTCGATGATGTCGCTGCTGCTGTTGCCGCTATTTTCTCCTCTTGTCTCGGAGACCGCCGACTTGTCCAGTCGGCGATCTTTCGTTCTGACGTTTTCTACAGAGTCCTTTTCGACCGGGGACTTTGATGTCTTTTTCCTCTCGATTTTCATAGGTGCTCTTGTGGTTTCGTCCACGTGAGCATCTACTTCCATCTGATCGGAGGCGGTCTCGTCAGCCCTCGCAGCCGGATGCTCCTGTGCCAACTCTGTCGATGGAGCCGGCGAAGCACCCGGCACCGGCAACCCTGTGCTTGAATCAGCTGATTTCTGTGCCTCGACGCGTTCAGAGACGCTTCTTGTAGCGTTTTCTCTTCGGCGACGGGGTCTGGATCTGTTTTTCCAGCTTTGCGATAGTCCTTTCGGCGGCTGACAGCCGTTTGTTGAGGCTATTTCCGCGTTCGTACTCATCGTATAAGCGAAGTTGCAGAATCTTGTACTGATCCGCCAGGAAGCGAGTCCTAACGAGGCACCTCTCGAACGAATCCACTTCACGGTTCTCACAGATTCCGCATTTGACAACTTTGTCCTTGGTCGGACTCAGAGTGTTCTTGCACTTCTTATGGCGCACGTTTCCGCAGTTCCCTGCGCAGAATATCAGCTCTCCTTGCGGGAAGTCTGGGGAGCCGCATCGAAAACAACGTGCCGCTTCGGCCGCCATCTTGAATTGGCATTATTAATTTATATAAACACTGAGATTTCCGAGAGCAACCACCCCGCAATTAGTCAATGTCCTGGTTACAAGCGACTACAACGTACTTTTTCAAGTTTTCGAAAAGAAGCGAGCGGCGGTTGTCGCGGAAGATTGACTTGTACCGGGAAAAAGATCGCTCGACCTCACAAGAAACAACCGGAGCGAACTTCAACAGGATCTGGTCATCGAGTGGCATAACAACGTCCTCTCCGCTCGCTTCTCCCCGCATAAAATCTCTTAAACGTTGAAGCTCAGCGAAGCCAGCGTTGTTTTTCAGGACGTTTTCAAACTTCTGGGAAATTGCGCTGAGTTCGGTGGGGAGAAGTCTGAATTCTTCTCGTAAATCTTCGACGATGCTCAACGATTTTTCGAGCGACAGACCGTGTCCCTCCAGAGCGGTGATACAGTCGGGAATTTTTGAAAAATGTGTTGCTATCGCCACGAGACCGGATTGGACAGTCGCGTCAACGAAGAGCCTTTGTGCTGTCTTGATTGCGAGCGCATCGTCCGCCTGCAATTTTTCGCAGACAAATCTCCTCAAGACCTCGAAGTTCCGGGCGTAATATTCCACTGCCTCTATCCATGTCCCCCACCGGGTCAAGATCGGCTTCGGGGGCAGCGGGAGTTCGACCTCCTCTCTAAAGAGCGAAATACGAGACGGGGACTTCAAAAGGACCATCTTCATCGATGCGATCAGCTGATCTACCTTCGGAAACAATCCGCGGATCTCTTCGGATACCCTGTGTAGGCCGTGAGCAAGGCAGGTGACGTGTATCATTCGCGGGAACAAAACCTTCAAGCTGGCGGCAGCTCTCCCCATGTAACGGGCAGCATCGCTGACAAAGATTAAGACGCGATCATAGTGCACATCGCCGTTCCAAAGAATTTCCATGGACTTCACGAAAATGTGGGCGATCGTGGTGGCGTTGCATTTTTCGAGTTGTTCACATACCAAGAGATAACTTCTACCAAAATGAGTTCTCTCTAGTTTCCCCACGATCACGTTTGCGATACTCCGTCCAGCTCTATCCGTGGTCTCATCTATCGAGACCCAAATTTTCGAACAAGCGATTCCTTGCCGGATGCGATCGATCACGTCGGCATAAACTTCAGGAACATACGTTTTTCGTAGAGTGGAAGGTTCGGGTATTTTCATGGATGTGTGGTGTTCGAGGAAGTTCTTCAGAGCATCATTCGAAAGCTTGTGCAGAGCTATATCCGCTTTCATGAAAGCACTGCACAAGTCCATGAAGAATTTGTCCTTCTTGGCTCCACTTAACAAGTTTGTTGACAGCTGTTGTTGTCTCATCCCTGAGGATCCTTGAGCCCTCCGCGACGAGCGCTCCGCAGCCGCAACATGGCTTCTCGTCACAACATGCTGATTGAGTCTGAACTTCGTGGCTCGCGGAAAGTTTTTCACGCATAACCTACAGAGAACCACATCCCCGTCAACCGAAAACGTATCCGCACCAAATAATGAGATGAGATCCGCTCGCGACAATTTTGGTCTCGGCATCTTCTGACCGTGACCGACCGGGAGCCGTGCCTGCGCGAGGACTTCGGAAAGTCCCAGCTGACTGATCGGAGGAGCGTTATCGAACGTGCACCTGACAGTGGTGCGTGTCTTCAACGCTCCCGATGAGGCGTATGCGATTCGGCTTCAGTTTCACCAAACTTGCGGTCATTGGTCAGGACTTGGGGGAACGTTCCCGACGGAGCTAGGGGGAAGCAGGTTAACGACATTTGTGAGCATTCCGAGTCTCGGCAAAGGATTTCACTCTTCATTGGGGTGTCAATCTCTTCGCTTCTCACATCCTCGATCTATCGAATCATTGATTGGTCTTGGATAAGTTTGAGAGATGCTACATCGACTCAGAGGAGAACTCAGTACTCGCGAATATGATGCGGATATCGAAATATGCGTTTCAAGCTCGGAAAAGGTCAAATATGCGAATATGCTCTAAAATATGCATTTCATAGGAATCCCAGCCCTAGTCATGAGGTGACGAGCCGCGAGACGAGCAGTTCTTCTTGTTCGGTGGGATCCTGGTCATTCGCATCCGCGATGCGGCGTTCCTCGAGTCGCGGCGCAATCCGGCGACGGATGAGGGACATTTCGACGGGATCATAGGGATCGGCATCTTTCGATCTGACGCTCAAGACTTTGGATTCTGATCTACTTCGATGAGCATTCCCTGGTGTTCGAGGTAGGACGCTCGAGGTTAGGCTTTCAGATAATTTATTCACGTTCGTATGCGGATGAATATTCACGAGCCGTCTAACGAGAGAAATACTTCTTGAACTCGTTTTCCCTTCATGATTCGAAGTTTAATAAAGGACCCTGCTGACTGATACGGCTCCGTTCCTAGCTAGATATGAGCTGTACGTCCGCGTACAGTATAAGAAGTACGAACCACCTAAATTCTGCCGATTTTTCCACGAATGAGCTACTTACAACCTCTACCAGAATTCGGCCGCCGGAAGGCTGCTCAGTAGTAAGTGCTCTGTTCTTCTATTCCATCTAGGACGTCCTGGCCCCTTCCCCGAACATAACCTTCGACAAAATATCGTAGGTTCGATAGGTAAGATTGAAGGTGAAGTCTGCCAAATCGAAGTTATGTCCTCCGGAGGAGAGTGCTCACCAGATGGGGAATGATGCTTGCAGAATTCTTGTCTGCCTCCTCAGCATTTTCAACATCTCAATACCACGTATAGTCGAAGCAGGAAGATCCGGGACGCCGATAAGACGCGTAAACAGCAGCAACCGGCAATGCCTGTATAATATCAAATGCCATGTGATTCATAATAAGTGAAATCAGTTAGGCAACAATAATTCCAGCTGAACTGCTGCAGCGACAAATATGAGACAAGAGCATCACAACTTGACTCCGGACATCACATGATGATCAAACCGCTCCCACGATCGAAAAGTGGCATCGGTAAGTAACAAAACAGCTCCTACAGCCGCGGAGTATACAACTCGTGTGAAGTCTGAGTGTTGGCACGAATGATTTGGGATTCGAGGACACCCCACGCGATCAGGCGCAAGAACGGTGAGGTCTCGAAATCGAATTTTTTCACACAATAATTCCGATCGGGAGCTCTGGACACGAGTTTACAAAGGAAAGAGTCGTGAACTCATAGGAGCCACACTTTGTTCGAGGGTTAAGGTTCATCTTGAGCGACGAATCGCGAGAGTTTTGGTTTCTGGAAGATCCCTCTCGAGTCTCGAAGGACTCCGACAATAATCGAAAATATCACATCAGTCGCCGAAAATTAGAATGGGCCCCATATCAATTCTCTCGAGAATCACCCTCCCTTGCCGGTGAGCGTCACGAGTCGAATCGATGTTTCTCCGACAGTGGCAGAACTCTGAAATCACGAGTCATATCTTCGACATCCAAATCCTTAACGAAATACATCAAGATAAGTCATTTTCATATCATCTCCCAACAAACGGAAAGACCCGTTGCTCGGGTACCTCAATGGAGTCGGTTCGAGACGAGCATTCGGGTCCCCCGTCCTGCTACAAGAATTGCTCTCGAGTTCCAGACTCACGGAACACGTTATCCGACTGGGGAACAGCCGGAGGATCCCAGAACAGAATGCCGGCTCAGAGCCACGTATAAACAACAACACCAACAATCATAAAACTGTGAATCACAGTTGTTTTCGAAACATGCAAGCGATCAAGATATAAGCCATGAATATTGAATATAGACCTCTATGATGCTCGAATGGCCTCAGGTTCCGTACTGAGAGGGAGCAGAGGAATTCAGAAACAAACTTCCTCCGAATGAACAAGGAATAAAGGTAAGTTGTCGCTTCCGACAGCAAAAAGGAAGATTCATACAAAATAGGAACTCCATCCCTGTCCATTGGGCAGGAGTGTTCGCTGTGTGAAGTTCTTTGGACTTATAGTTAGCTCGATTTTGCGCATGGTATCTCTGAGCGAGAAGACACGCGTGAATGGAAACGTACGCCCCTATCGAACATGCGCGTGACGGTTCACGGGCTGGAGCGTATTTGGATATTCAGGTGGGACATGTAAGAAATAACGCTATCGCGTTCCATTCGGACACGACCAGCGGATAACGCTAAGTATCAGGCTATGGAAATTACGTGGAAGTTTCATTCGCTGCCGAGAGAAAATCTTCTCGCATCATCGTACTAGGGGGTAAAATAGCACTCAGTCTGAGCGACTGTCTCATGAGCTGCTATGCGATGAATTTGATCGAGAACTGAAGACAGATCGCATAAGTTCAAGATGAGATCCAAGCGAGCTATTACGAGGCTTGCGGGGCATCTTCGGTATCGGTTTCGCCCGGAGATGCGGCTGACGCGGGAGAAAGCGCCTCGTCCGGTGTCAGGCCTGCTTGCTCTGCCGGAGAAGTTGCTGCCACGGATGAATCCAGCTCAGCGTCGCTAGTGCTGTTGACGGTCGCCCTTTTCGGCACGGGGGTGTGTTTCCCGCTCAGAGCTTTTCCCTGCAACGATACGGACTGTATCAAGGGTATTTCCCATTCTACGGAGATCGAAGTTCGCCGATCAGGCTGTACAGCTCAGACTGAAGCGGGGGAGGGGGCGGTAGCAGGGCCGACGGAGGCCATTGGAGGGCGGGGGATTGTTCGACGGATTCCTCAGTAGTTTCTCACCTCGTGTGAGATGCCGTCATCGGCGTCGAAGATTTCGTTCGAGCCACTGCCGGGAGCAGTGAGTGTTTGGAGATCGCTGGTGCTCAGGGAGTGACGCCCGCTGAATTGGCTTGCCACACTCATCGAGTCATCGTCAGAGATGAGGTCCGTCTTGGATCCGCTGCTAGCCAATCGCTTGTTGCGGCTGCTGTTCCGACGCTTGATGGACTCCCGAAGGTCGTAGGTACTTCCTGCAAGTAACCCTGTTGAAAAAAGTAGACGCTAGGTTGTGATCGTGCGGACTACTACTACTACTCGGTGCAGGGCAGGTGCTTTCAGGTGGAGAAGACATTCAATGCAACGGCTCTACGGAGATTTCGATGCGAAGACCCAGTCATCGACGTAACGATCCTCATTCCCCGCCTGAATTGTTGGCCGAGGAGTTTCGCAGGGTCTCCACGGTTCCGGCTCGCTGCCTTACCCGAGAGTCTTCTAGCGGGAGCCTGTTGAGCCTGCTCTGTGATTGCGGCGCACATCCGGCTGGTCTGGCCGTACAGTATTCCGGCATTCGGAAGATGTCCCTGTGGGGTCGATGGTCTCGCCTCGGTTCCGCACGCTAGAGTTCTCGGTGCGCGAGTATTCGGGACCTTCCGAGCCGAGTTACCGAAATTGAAGAACCGTTTGCGTTGGCTCTGGATCTGTGAATGAGCGTTCGTCGTATATTTCTCGGCAAGGTTCTGGGTGGCCGTGCGCGGTCTATTTTCAAACGAAATCGCTGTCTATCACGTGGCGGAAAATTCACTACAGACCTGGAGCAGGGATGCTTGCACCATGAGATTGCGAAAATGATCGCTTCGGAGGAATCGGGGATAGATATCGGTTTGCATCAGCGTATACACGTGTTGTTGAGCATTCTCGAAGGTGTAACGCGTCGGTTTCTTCATCGCTTCCAGAGTGATTTCCATGGTTGCCGAGTCCAGATTGACCTCACACGGAGCGCCCGATTTCAGATACTCGCTGCGTGAGAGAATAGATAAAAGGGAAAATCACGGAATTAGTCGATTTTGCTGCGTTCGCCTCCCAAATGCTTCAAATATCCACCGTGAGTTCCGCCCATGAACACTCTCATGTTTCTGATCTGCCCCGTGCCAGGGGGAAATTTTGCTCTCAGTGACTCCGGTGCTAACCTGGCCTAGTATCTCATTTTCACCCCTCTAGGTGATTCATGGACGGAACCTCGGAGCCAATGATCACGTGACCGAACGATGACCCGAGGACCTACCTGTGGATAGCGGCAACTTTCTGAGGCACCGTAGAATGAGATCCTCGTTTCAAATCCTGAACGGATTTCCAGAACAGAATGTTTTCCCGAGAGTACTCCAAGCCGAGATACGTTTCAAACTCCTTGAATCCGCGTGGATCGGAGAGCAGTTCTTCAAGCGACAGAGTCCATCGACGAAGTCTCCGCTCGGTGAATGTATCCGTCCTGGTCGAGACAAAATCACGGAGTTTCAGATTAGCAACGGGCTCACCGACACCGCTCGGGCGCATCAACTACGGTCTCGTATGGATCAACTCACGTGTGGCTCTCGACGGTCCACAGCTGCTGATCATCGGTTATCCATGGATTCGAGGGTAATGGAGTAGAAAGAAATGCATCGAATTCCTTGTAGTCTTCGCATCGTTGCCAGAGAGTGCTCTTGGCGCGACTGCGTGATATACTGTTTCTGAGAATTTTGATCTGGAACGAATAGCGAGCTCTTAGCGGAGGAAACAAACCTCTTCAGACGGAACGGTGCATCTCGCGAAGAGCTTGCGTCGACGAGAACTAACCTGACGTTTCAATTGTTCGCAGGTTTTCTTCTTTGGCCCACGACGACTCGGTTTCGGACAGCGTTCTAAACAGGAAACCGTTCCCGGAGGGGGACGGTGGAGTCTCCAATAGGCCCTCTCTTGGGAAGACGAAATCACCTTGTCTGTTTTCTTCTTATCTTTCGATTGTCTGTAAGGGACCGGGAGCAGTTAAGAACTCTCTGTCATTGAGCCTAGACACGAAAGGAAGTCAATAAGTCCTTCCGAAGTAATTTTTCGTCGATCACGGTGAAGGTCCATAAAACATCGAGCTCCATACGCGACCAATCACTTTGCGCTTTGTTCAATTTCCGCTCCGCGCGGAAGCTGCACTGGGAAACTATTCTTAGCGAAGGCCGATGATGAGGCTTTTATCGAACGAGCCCATGCGACGATTATGAGACTAATATACGATTCATATTTCTGAGGAATTTATGCGTGATTTCTCTTGAAGAGTCTGGATTCGGACAGGATTCGGACGACCTCTAGAAATTCCGACAGCCTCTCCCGGACAAGGATCGGTACCGCCAGGTTGGGACACGAGAAAATCAGACTTTCTACCCTCGATGGAGTTCCGTTGCGAAAACATCGTGTATTACTCACGCTATCTGTTCTTCGGCTAGTTGACAGATGGTGTCCCACTTATTCGCGAGGAGTTTTTTCATCCTCTGCAGCGCCTCGACTTCGTAGTCTTCGAGAGATCCCTTCGGTTTGTTTTTGAGGGTTCTCCTGAGTAGATATAGCGCGTACTCCGTATTGTCGGGGTTATTGCGCGAGGGCCAATACTCCGGGGCTTGGAATCTTGAATGGAACGCAGAACATATGATCCAGCTGTGGGAGTCTACCTCAGGGGCGAATCACGGTACCAGGCAATACTCCAGGAGAGCCGATCGAAATGGCGACTTGAATTACGGTGAATCTCGCGTCGCTCACCTATACAACGTTGAGTCGTCTTTGATCGCGTAGGTTTTAGCGTTCTCGCCGACGGGGAAGAAATATCCGTGCTGACAGAGCAGATTTGCGAGTTGAAGAGCTTCCTGGGCGACAGGCCCGCTCTGATCTTCGATGTCAAGGTTGTCCATGATCCACTCGACAACATCATATCCAACGAAAGCGCACGGAATCGAGGTGAGGAAGAGTTTCTGCGACCGAACTGGGACGCCCATCTCGGGATGCTGCATCTCGTGGATCAGATGTTCCATCTGAAATTGTTGAGGCATCAATGCAGAAGCGTGCAGACGGAGGGGGCGGAACCCGAGAGGGGCAGCATCTCTCCATCAGTTTTGGCATCCGAAGAACGGCCGATCATTTTCGTAAGGAACTCTCCGCCATTCTGGTCGAATATATCGGAGAACGTCCCCGAAAAAAATATACGCTACGGGGCGGTGAGTATCTTGATTGATGAGAAATTTGAACGAAGCCCAAGGCGCCGTGGAGGGCTTGCACGCCACTGCGTCAAAGACTGACTCATCGTGAGCATACGGTAAGACCTACTGGGACCTAGTTGGTGTCAGCGCGCCGGGTGCGCCGTTGAATACTTGCTCACATTAAGTTAGGTGACGACGAAGATCACTTCCCAACGAGTCACCGAGTAGACTGTACGTCGCTCTGATTTTCCCTTGTGTCTCACTGCGTCTACGGACCTAACAAGGACCTCGACACCGCGAGTTTTCTGTTCTGCTTGACAACTCGTTGTCTCGATGCCTTCTCATAGGCAAATGATCAAACTCTCGAAAGCAGCCTCAACTCGCTGGGACTCGATCACCAAGCCCTGCCGGAGGCGCAAGAAGCCGCACCGAGAATCGCTCACCTTCAGGAAACAGGACTCGATGCAAGAGTCGTCCTGGTTCGTGGTGTGATGACCGCCGCTGATGTGTGGAGATCCGGGTGGTTTCGCATTTGAGGTCTGGGGTTGAGCAGAAGTGGGCGAAAGCGCTTTCTGCGGCTGGAACCCGTTCAAAAAAAACGTTGTCAGCATATATCCAGCATGCAATTACTGTCGCTCTGCCATTTCATCTCTCGCCTTGGCGCATCAACACAACAGGTGTGTTCGCTTGGTCTGGGTGGGCTCACACCATTCATGATCGAGCCGCCGATATTCCTTCTCGAAAACCGCTCGGACCAAGCATTCCAACGACAGTGCGAAACGACTTCACTACCCGGGCACGGTGGGATGGGTGCTTACCTCAGAAACGCATTCCCGGGACTCTTTGAGCAGCTCGCTCTCACTGTCGCTCGACATCGTCACTTCGTGGTCGGGAATCTAAAAGCTGTGCCGCTCAAGCCACTAGTGGAATAAGTCCCTAACGAGGCGGCTAGGGGAGAATCAAACTCCCTACAACCATCATTTCTAGACTAATGTGAAGGGACTGATCCCCGATTGTTGATGTCTCTCAATCGGAGGAGATGCAGCTCCTGCAACTGGTCTCACCCTAAAGCTCGGAGTGGGAAGCGAGAGGGAAACTGCCGGAGAGAGCCTGGAAGTCAGCCGCCTTCGACGGGCTCGCTGTAGGGCCAGGGACGAAAGAGTTCCGCCTGACCAGCGGCTCGGAGCTCGCCTGAGAATTTCCGACATTTCTCGGGAGCGAGCCATCGATTCTTGAGCGAGATACAGTGAAACCCCGGTACAGCGAATTCCATGGGACCGGCCAGATTGGTCCGTCATACCCGAGGTCTGTTGTATCTGAACATGGGGTTCGACGAGACCAGTGTGGATCAGAGGAGCTAGTTTGATGCTCCTCCGGGCCTCTCCCTATCCGAATGAGTGGGCATAAATGATTGTGACAAAGATCTCATCCTTGATCACACTAGAGGAACTTTCCGCCTCGCAAGAACAGGTCCCTCTTGAAAGAGTTGAATTACATGAGATGGGATAGGACCGGGGCCGAGGAATCAGTCCATTGCATGTAGGTTTCCGTTATTTGGTCCGCTGTAGCCGAGTCACTCCGCATGGAAGATCCCATAGGGTCGAGGGGACCGAGCTTTCGCTCCGTCATAACAACCGAGTGTCCGTTATATCCGAGTCCATTAGATGCGGTTCTATTGTATCGAGGCTCTGACGAGTCCAGGGTACCGAGGCTCCTCGGGAATGGATGTAGACGGCTAGTCGGACGGACAAACCTAATATTTCCTAAGCTTTGCCTACCTAAACGTAGGCAAAGCATGAAGACTCTTTAGGCGAGGGGGCGGTCGGAGAACAGATGAAGGGAATCAGCTGATCAGAGGATATCACTTTTTTAGAATTTATTGACTGCCCTGAGATCGCATCACGGAGCAGGATACCTGTGAGAGAATACTTGTCTCTCTCAGAGAATCGGGGGATTTCGACGATCCGAGTGCATCTCAAGTCCTCTATTTGGCTTCCCGCGGACCCGGAATAGGCATCAGCATTAGAGTAACTGAGCTCGGCGATGCCCGGAGCGAATATCACACCTGATACCTCGAATGCTGAGCTCTGACGCCCGGAGCCGCTAAAAGCCTCCGTAGCTCTCCTCGCAGGAGAACCGACGGTCCGGATCCTTCCCTGAAGAGATTCCTTCTTAGGGCGGGTTCGAGAGAGAAATTTTACTCCTTGTTAAAAAGATGTGGCCTGCACATTCCTTCCAGCAGTTGAGATCGAACTAACCATAATAGAGCCCTCACGGGAAGCCCATGAAGGGACTCCGTTGAACAAGTCTTGAATGGCCTGAAAGTCATCGTCCGGCTCTCCGGGACGTTCCCATGCCCTTTTGCCGCGTCGACTCCCGGGCCGACCGCCCAAGCCTGAGCTCAAGGGCTAATGGCGGAATCGCTGCCTCGGCTTCAAACATCTCGAAATCAGTCACTGATCTACGTGTCTAAGGAAACAGTGATATTTTCTTTTATTCTGGATCCATCGTCGCATCCCCCTGGCCTGTCATAGGGGGCTCGGGAGTCGGCCTGTAAGGAGCCGAACTTGAAAGCGGGAAATTGCTTATGAGCCACTTGGTTTTCGAGCATCCATAATATCGATGATGCAAACTGACGACACTTACGCCACCAGCATTCCGACATAGGACTTCATGGAGTGCTTTATGAAGCGTTTGTTCGTTGCGTACCAACTCTCGAAACTGAGAAGGGTATCCAAGTACGCAATGCCTATCCAGGTGCCCATATACGCGCCGATATAGGCCAAGCACTCTGTGTACTGCAACGAAGCGGGAAACGGGACACCGATCAGCAGGGGGACGACCGAGAACATATTCACTCGAGTAGCAAACTTATGTTCTTTGATTGACTCACAGTGAAAGCCGGGACGTATTTCGTGACTTCTTCGGCGTCCGATCCGAAACTCAACTTCAAGGTGAATTTATTTCTGCGGAGGAGAAAGATCGTTCAGGACTTACTACAGGTCATAAGCTCTCGGGAGCTCGGGCATGGGCGTCGCTTAAGTAGAAAACTGTAGCCAGCGATCGCTAGGATACAAACTTTTTATCGCTGGTTGACCCGCTCTCCAAACCGAGACTCACGAGCTTGAGGTCGTAGGATATCTGTCTGTAATACGTGGAGGAAATAAGAGCAATATGTCAATTATTATTATTATCGCATGGGGGATCTCCTCGCTCAACAAGTTCCTCGACTCGAATTATTTCGCGGTCACTCACTCGCAGGGCATCCCGCATATTTTTTCGCAGACCTTGTAAACGTCACTCGCGTACATCATGTGACCGCAGCTGTCGCCGTAGGTGAAGTTACAAATCGGATATCTCTGATGCCCCGCGTACTCGTGTGCGGACCGTATACAACCACACCTTTTCAGTTCGAGGTGCATGCTGCAGTTCTGAAGGCATAGCTGGAAGAGACGCAATACATCATCCGGAAGTCGTCATCAGGAATTGCGACTCAGAGCCCAGACCCCACTAAACTTGCGGCGAGTCCCTCCCCTCTTCTCTTACATCGAAATTCAGGTAGCCTCCGAATTCTTGCTTGTAGCCGAGAGCTCCGTAGTCCACGCACTTCGATTTGTAGGGGGCCTTCAAACGACGAATGCGCTGCTGCAAATCAGCGAAGGAGTGCTGATTGTAAGGCTCTCCAAGGTGCGCCTGTCCCCCGCCGTGCTCGGTTTAGGAAGTAATTTTGAGCAAGATTGGAACCTACTTGCTTCATCGCCACTTCGAAGACCGCGCCAGGCTGCATCGTGATAGCGGTCAGCCGGTCCGGAGGAGCCGAATTCGGCGCATGAACGACCAGAGGGAACACATTGGTCGGCATGAACGTTATGACGCGACTCCGATTGAGCTTGTACTTGAGTTCGAGTTCTGTCGAAAGAACAGCGACCTCGAATCGCATACGTTGATACATATTTCGTTCCCGGGGACCCGATGTTGGGGAGAACGTGGAGTTTCCACTCACCATACATCCAAGGATAGGGACACGTAGATACGACTTTATTTTGGTATTGAGTGACATCGACCGTGTAACACAGCTGGGACGGCATTCGGAAATAAGTCGCTCGCATGCTGAAAAAGGTCCAGATGCAGCGCGCACAATCTCGGAGCGTCGTTCCTCGTCTTTTCAGACGCAGATGACCCAACCCACTGCCAATGCAATCACCATGAGGAACCGAGACAATTCCAAAGGAGCGAAGCGAAGAACTCACGCGTCTTTGCACTTGAACGATTTGCACGAGGGATGCTTCATTGTGCAGTCAAATAAATCGCTCGGCGGGAAAGCGCCGAATTTTCGCAGCTCAGGATTGGTTTGTACGTAATACAGCCCAATGGAGTATGTCTGGAAGCGAATTACGTTAACAGCAGCACCGGGGAGATCGAGATCCATGTTCGACGTAGACTCACCATATCGCTTCGAGAGCATCTGTTATTCGTGTAGGCGCAGGTCCTCACTGAGTCCATCCTGCGAAATACGGAAGCCCATCTGGTGAGCGGGACGAGCATTGTTTAATGTTTCTAGGCTCCGAACTCTGGTCTTGCCGAACTCTGTATGCAATGTAACCACGACCCATAAGCGATTCTTCCGCAGCGACATTACCAAGCGTCAAGACAAATGGTCACCCCGGGAAAAACGATATTCTCCCGGTACTCTTCCTCGACCGAAATAGCGAAGTTGAACTCCTTATAATGTTTGTAGATGCCGATAAACTGAATGAAAAACATCACGACACAGGCGAGAAAAACCGCGATTCTGAACCATGGGATCTGATTCCAATGGTTCCTCACGTAGCTCGTGAGGAACCGGAAAAATCCTCGCCAGAGTGTCCCGCAAAGCATTTCGAGCGTGGCAGGCGAAGAATCTATTCACTTTATGGTCGAAAGGAAGTCTCAGACTCAACTTTTGATTGGAATACTCATCGGCGAAGGTCGAACGATATGATCGAACTTTCCGTGTCGATGTCTCTCGACATCAAACATTGCGAGTTCACAATGCGACTGTCTCGAGACGGGGTCAGCGGCACTCGTTCGCGGTCGGAGTCGAAAACTCATGGTTATCGAGCAGAATTCTTCGTATATCTAACCACGCTATATTTCCCTCACAGACACGGTGTGTCACGGGGCGCTCTGAGAAATTCGTTTCAAATATAAAAGTTCGGGGGCGGACTTCGATTCGGAGCTCAGACCGTGACCGCCGCTCCACCCTCTTCCAGAGACATCCTATTGAATCGCCGGCAAACAATTAGAGATGAATTAAATGTCTTTAAATATTTCAACATCTCGAGGTTCAGAGCGCTTGTTGAGGTCTCAATTCTCCAAAATCATCCCCTGCGCCGATACATCGGATTCCGACTCTACGCACAGCATTTTTGTGAGGATTTCTCGATCTGGAGGAATAGTAATGCCGCTCCTTCGAGGTCAGGACTTAGCTGGCGATGCTGCAGAGAGCTTTCTCCGTGAAAGAGCGCGAGCAGCCGAGGAGTCAGCACGTGCATAGTGAGGGGTTCCTGCGACCGCGCATGGCTTTCGCGCCTGCGTATTGGCCCGGAAGGACATTGCTCATCGGAGGAGCTTCCGGAGGCTTCGAGCTACGGAGCGGAGGATTTCTTTCGGGGGTCGGCGGGAGTTTGCAGCGCCGATAGAGGTCATGATGGGCAATGAGCGGATTCAAGATGGAGCTCGAAGATGGGAACAGAATTCATCCTGTGAGGAAAACGGAGTAGACGTAGGGAAAAATCCTGCTAGGGACGTATTCGCTCACTGATTGGATTTCTCCCCATGCAGGGCCCTCGAGATTGTCCCGGAAAGTACCGACGAATTCTCCGGGAGCTGCTCCTGTATTGGCTCCGAATACCGAGGGTCCGTCTCAGGGTCTTCAGTTCCCACAAAGACCTAGGCCGGAAGGTCGGAATACCGGAGATGCGGAGCGAGCTACACAGGTTGAACTTCACCGAGCTCCGCTCTTCCTTGGGGTCACAAGTATTCATGAGGGTCAGTTTGGGACGGACGAAAATTCCACGGTCAATCAATGCAGAATTGAGCGCTTTCTCCGCATCCAGCCGTCCGGGGTTCCGAGGGTCGATTGTACGAATTCATCGCACGTCGATTCGGTTTGAATTTCCCAAACTTCGGCAACATCACCGAGCCACGAAAAAGCGTACCGTTCGACCCATTGATGACCACCGATGGGGACCTTGAGTGCAAGTATAATCCTTGAGCGTCTCTATCAATCAGAAAGTCCCTCGGAGAGTTGCCGATCAAACCTCAAGCTGTGCATCTATTGGCTATCGCATCGGCGAATTCCATTCGAATCAAAAGTCGGAGCTCAGACTCTCCAATTCACTTGTCTTATGACTTATGATGATAGAGCCAGCTTCACCAAGCCAGCAGTCGGTGAATTTGTCGACGCACCCTGCAAGATGCGTGTCACACCCCCCAATTAAGGGTCTTCACACCATCACTGCCTGAAGCTCTCACGTGCGAGGAAGGAGGAAGCGTGAGTAACCTTTCAATTCATTCTTTATTCATTCAATTCGAGAAACTATCGGCTGAACTAGACGAATTCACCTGCAAATGCGAAGGAAATTTCATGAGCTTATGAAGTGTCAGGAACCCTGACATGTTCATGGATACGAGACTTCCGCGGGAAACGTCCCTCGAGAATCATCGGGAGACCAGACTCGAACAGGCGCTAATGTACTCACTCTGCTTCTTCTTCTGTCTTGTATTTCGAATTGTAAACGGGCACATACTGGAGAACAGCTTTCCAGTTGGTGAAATAGCATAGGAGCAGCCCTCCTGTCGCGCCGTAGGCGGCAGCCGACCGGGCCCTGCGAAGGGAATGATAACTTGAACAAATACTGATTCCCTCTCAATCCGCTCCGACTGTAGTTCACCCCGAACGCTCCCTCTGAGGGGACTCTCGATTATCAAATCTTACTCACCAAATTCTGGCGAGTTCTTGGAGCTGAGGCATGATCCTAAAAGAGCGGTCTGGCTCTCAGAAATAGAACGGAATCACTGTCGACAGTCGACGACCGATTCGTTCGACAAAAGCTATAGATCGACCTTCCTGCGTCCGTCCGAAAAGTTCAGCGCTGATGGCAGTAGTGCGATGCGACTCGGCGCCTAGAGAGTCTGGGGTGTCCAGAACTCGGTCCAGAGAGAACTACGCGGCGGAACGTCTTCGAACTGAGGTTGATTCCGCGAGTTTCACGTTCGCGTCCAGAGAGAATCGTTCAGAACCTTAATCGAGAGCCGTAAATGAATCAGGTGCGCCGAGAAATGCGGCGTCGCGAACAAAAGTCACGTAGTTGTAAACAGTCCTGTCCGCTGTGGTTTCGGTATGCGCACATGGCTCGTGTTTCGAAAAGGACCTGCACTTAGAGCCGTCCGAGAAAAAAGGAAGCTCTTCGAATTTTCGACAGGTTTTCATCTGGACAAGATGAAGCCTCGTCACAATAATCAGTTGGCACACTCGTTGCCTCAGCTGCAAAATCTCGTGAAACGGGATCCGCCTTCGTATAAGGATGAGGTGAGTCCTCGGAATGTGTTCGAAAGCAACACGCGTTCCATTCCTCGAACATCTGATATCTTGAGGAGCTTGAACGTCTCGTACTCGAGCGCCGTGTCAATCCATGACTCGAAGTCGGCTTCGTGCCCCGCTTGATGGACGAGAAGAACGAGCTCTCAATTATGGTTCCCAGAGCCGTGCCATCGCGCTTGCGGCTCCTCATAAATGTTCTCACCGGCTCGGCAGTCTCGGGCACAGAACTCACAGATGTAACAACGGAAGTTTTGTTCCATCGTAGGTCCGCCAGCAGTATTCGCATTATCGAACGCTCTACGCGCAGCCATCGGAATACACCTCGGATAAATTTGAAGAGCTCATCATGTTCCTGGCAAATGTTTGCAAGCATTACGACTTCAAGGATCAGTTCATTCAAGATTGCATGGAACTCTTGAAGAGCCAAGCCCACGTGCTGACGGCTGATACGAGGTTCGTAGCGTGACATTCTCTCCCCGAATGAGCTTGCAAACGTGCTAGCTACGAGTAGTCTCTACCTCGTCTGAGAAACAGCCTCCTGATCACCTCGACTCGCTTGGGTATATTCTTCGACTTGATATTTCAGACTCTGCATCTGTCGCGCGCTGATCATGATGAGAAACAAGGGGCTGCTCGAACCTCTGCCCCTGTTGGAGCTTTACTTCGGCATGTTCAGAGTGAAATTCGATAAGAATCTCCGGGAATTCCTCAAGCAGCACATAATCGCCGACATAAAGAACACAAATCAAAAGACGAAATCGACAAAGCTCAACAACACCCTGCAAAACTTCATGTTCACGGTGTTGAAGGTTAGTGTCGCTTGCTCTTCCCGTAAGGCGCTGACCCAATAACTGACGGCCTAGGCAGACATATATTACGATGATTCTCATTCATATATCGATCCTCAGGACAGCGATACACAGGCTGCGAAGCAGTCCTTGGATTGCGTGGTTGCTCTCTATCAGAAGCAGGTATGGAACGATGCGAAAACCGTGAATGTGATCGCGACCGCGTGCTTCCACCCCGAAGTCAAAGTTATGGCAACGGCGGTGAAGTTCTTTCTCGGTGAGTCTTTCTCGTTTCGATGGACAATGCCTGGTCGGAAATAAGGATAAATCATCGAGCCTGTTCCCGTCATCCAGGCTGTGATGAGGAACCTCAACAGAACGACTCCGACTCGGACAGTGATTCCGACGCTCCTGATCTCAAGGACGCCTTGATGACGCACAAGATCAACAAGAAGTCCCGGAAACGCCAACGCTGGTTGGAGAACATCAAGAAGAAAGCGAAGAAAGCCAAGAAATCAGACAAAGCTCCCAGTTTCAACTTCTCCGCGCTCCACTTGATACACGATCCGCAGACTATGGCTGAGAAACTTCTGAAGAGGTATGTGCAGGTGTGGCTCCTGTGGTCATCGAGCCAACGTGAACTTCGCGCCGTCTTTTGGGAAACGCTACCGACGTACCTTTCAAACCCGATCACCCTCTTTCCCCGACAGATTGGAGAAACTCAATGAGCGATTCGAGGTCAAGTTGATGATTTTGAACCTCATCTCGAGGCTAATCGGAGTCCATCAACTCATTTTGTTCAACTTCTATCCCATAATTCTGAGGTTCGTAGTGAGCGTAATTTCTAGATTCGCGAATTGTCTTGCGAGGATCGAGCTTTGAATGAAACCATTCTCCATCAATCATCTTCGACCCATCTGCAGGTACGTCCAGCCTCATCAGAGAGAGGTGACGAAACTGCTCCAATACGCCGCCCAGGCCTGTCATGAATTGGTTCCTCCGGACATACTCGAGCCCGTGGTCAAAGCCGTGGCGAATAATTTCGTCAGTGAGCGGAATTCTGTCGAGGTGAGCTTCCCTCCTGCGACCTGACGTCTGGAAGCGACTTTGTTCGATTTCAATGATGGTGGGTTCGCCGACTAACGAGAGAGATTTCCTCCTCTCATTAGGTCATGACGGTAGGTTTGAACGCGATCAGGGAAATCTGCTCGCGCGCTCCCCTGGCTATCGGTGAAGACCTTCTGCAAGATCTTGTCATGTACCGGACTTTCCGAGACAAGAATGTCAGCACTGCTGCACGGAGCATCGTCGCTCTCTACAGACAGGCAAGTTTTCCTCTCTAGAATCGGGGGGCTGCCGGAGCGAATTCGGCAGGCCTTCCGACCAATCAGGTCCCCCGACTGCCATCGTTATCCTGGCGATTGCCCGGTGTGAACTGAACATCTGAACTGAAAATTATAGGTGAACCCTGAGCTCTTGAAGAGGAAGTACAGGGCAAGGCCCACCGCAGAGCAGCAAGAGACCATACACCTGAAGAAGTATGGACAGACGGTTGCTGCAGATTTCGTGTCAGGAGCGGAAGTACTGAACGAAGACTCTGGGAATGATGAAGACGACTCTGACGAAGAGCAACCTAACGATAGCGAGGATGGCGAATGGGTGGGTCTTCACTCGATTCAATCGATGGCACTGCTGGAATCGCCCATGTCGAGATCGAGCCGTAAGGAACGGATATTTCCAGATTGACGTGAGCCACAGCGAGGACGAAGCGCCAGCTGAGAGGCCGGAAGAGGACGACGAGAATGACGATTGTGAGGAATCGGACGAAGAGGAGGATGTCGAATACGATGATGAAGAAGGCGATTGTGGCGAGGATGACGAGGCTGGAGACGAAGCAGACGGACCCGCTCGGAAGAAGCTCAGAAAGGAAGGGGCCGATGAGAACACGCCCGTATTGAGTCTCGAGGAACGACGGGAGAAGGCCAAGATGATCTCTTCGACGAGGATCCTTTCGCAAAAGGAATTCCAGAAAGTTCGAGCCGCGCAACTGGCGAAGAAAGTCAATGTAGCTCTTCCTCGGAGGTTAGTCGTCTTCCGACGGAAATCGAGGACAGACAGATGCATTTCTGAACATTATCAGGAAAAAAACAGCTGGAGTTGAGAAATGGAGTCCCCTAACGAAGGTTTCGATTCCAGATTCGTGAAGAAGAAGAATGGCACTCCAACCGAGACAGTCCTGGATCCCGAGTCGGGTCTGATCGTGGATTCGGCGCTCCGGAAAGAGACCGTCGCTCTGAGAGACATCGAGAAGTTGTCCAAGAACCTCAAAAACGACAAGGCCGCTCGGCTAGCGTCGATTCAAGCGGGTCGAGAAGGACGCGAGAAATATGGAGGGTGAGTCAGATTGGCGGAGACAGATCTCCGAGTCAATCTCTCGAAATGCTTTGGGTGCCCTTCCCGAGGTCGGCCAACGCGCCAGATCTCGAGCCAAATAGTTGGTGTTTTTTTGGCGGGATTCATCGTTCACAAGATCAGAAATGCACGATTCGTGTGGTCGCCATTGAAGAAAAGCTCCGCGGGCATTTCGAGGGGGATTCGCGGCAGTCTCTTATGTCTCTCATTGAATTTCAGGTACAAGCAGAAGAAGGCTGAATACGCATCGCTGAGTAACAAACAGAAACGCAAAACCAAGTCGTACAACATGATCAAGCATAAGGCTAGATCCAAGGTCAAGCGCAGCTTCCGGGACAAACAGCAAGCCCTGAAAGTTTCGCTCAAGAAGATCATCAAGCATAAATACTGATTCTCTACGTTTGGATGTACATTTTGGGAGGTTGGGTGCGAGGCTTTTGTTGGCTGAGACTTGATGACGCGGGGCAATCCACTGACGTGACGTTGTCGATAATGTTGATTTTGTACCTTAACGACGAAAACTGATGAGGCTCCGTCAGTCACTCGTTCCGAATAAACAATCTTCTGCCGTGCGAAAAATTCGCGGTCCGATGTTCTTCTCGGAACTCAGAAAGTGACCACGCGAATCGTTTCTTCAGTTGCAAACTTTAACGTTTATTTCTCCAAGGTGGGCCATGGTGAGAACATTCGGATAACCCGCTGCCATATTCGCCAGAATCGATGATCTCCAATAGGTAGATCATTCCAGAAGCCCAACACTCGCGTATACTCTGATCGAAAAATTATAGAACATCGCTAAATTATAGAACATCGCGGAAGGGATGATGGGACATTTCTACAAGACGTCGTCGCTGGACCTACGGTATGACCAGGTTGACGTGAGACCTGTGGTTCGGGAGTTGAGCAAGGCACTCCACGGATTTCGAGGCAGTTTCGACGGATCTCCAAACGAATGGGATACCGACCATAAAATCGTGAAGATTTGCATTCAGGTGCCCCGAGGAACTGTTCTGAACGAATCCTGAGGATGACTAGACGGTCTGACAACCCGCATGTTCAGATCCCGATACGGGCTATCGGCTGGAGGGGCCGAAAGTCAGGGATGACCTTCACGCGCCGGACGAAGCGGATATCATCTGTAGGGAGCTCCGTGTTCCCAGGTCCATTAAATTAGGCGCTCTATCGGAGGAGGTTTTAGAACGTGATTCATTTCGAAGCGTCGTCCATTCTGTTCTTCTCTGGAAGTTTGAGAGAATTCTTTTGCAGAATTTCCGGTGCTTGCTGACAATCTTTAATTTCCCTTCCCCCGAGATTCTTATCCCGTCTTTCGAGCCGCATCGCCTCTGACGTGGAAGAACTTCTGTTTCCATATGAATTTCCAGAAGCGGCCCTCACCTTGATGGGCTGTAAGTTCCATGCTGACGGCGTTTTTCTTTGGCTTTCCTCACCACAAAATAGGTCACTACCAAGAGACCAACAATTAACAAAACTGCACAACAAATGCCGGCGATCAAAGCCGCGGGAGAATCCACCAGCAGGACCTGCGGGAGGAGAACAAAATGAGTGCGTCCCCCTGACAAGGAAGTCCTCTGTGTTCTGAGAAATATAATGAGAATGGGTTCACCTACCCCCTCGCACTGTCCCCCTCTGAATCCTGGGGGGCATATGCACTGGTATTCAGAGAAGTCGTCGAGTGGACTACAAGTGCCTCCGTTCTTGCAGGGGTTGTTCTCGCAGGGGTCCGGAGGTAACGAAGTTGTCTCTGACTGGAGAGACGGAAGAATTGTTAGAGAATGTAGCTGAGCCAGAACTGGAGGAATTCCTCAACTTCTTATTCCTGAGCTGTCGTGAGTTCTCATTCTGCCGGCCATCGAGTGAGGGAATTCGATTAAACTCGATTGCCGGTACGGGTCTCCGGAATCTATGATTTGTGTAAGCGATGAGAGAACTAACAAGATTATGCGCTGTAGGGTTCGCTTGAGCTCTCCGAATTATCTCAGAATTTCGCCGTGGTAATGAGTCAGAGCCTAAAGCGAGTGGAACAGCCTTTGAATGACTCCCAGGGCATGACTCGTTTGACGGAGGAATAAAATCCAATGCTCCAATGCGAATCCAAATATGCTCCATTGAGTGAATTCTCGGAGCATCGGCTCTAAGCATCTCCCAATCGACGCATACTTCCAGGGAGACTACGATCGAGTTACTATGCCACGACCAATACACTGGTTTCTGGGATCCGGAGCATAGAAGGGTTCCGGAGCGATGTTCCCAATTACATCACGTTACGTGAAGACCGTCGAGGCTTGTCTAAGAACGCCAGGAATCGATAGCGCCGATCGCACTGCCCATCTGTTCGCACGCTAAGATTTCCTAAACACAACTCAAAGACATTCGCTCCTCGAGATGTGTGAAAATTGTTTTCAAATGACTCGATTCAAGTCCTCCGTTTCACGAATCAGCTGGTTCTTATGGGCACTCAGACGAGCGCGTGCTCGCATGGGAGCATCTAGAAGTAGATAACCAGAGCTCGACGTTCATCATCTCGAGGTCGAACATCGAGGCGTGAGCGATCGAATGATTCGATGCACCGTTCCGATCATCGATCTCAGGGAGGGAGTCTCATTATTCAGGTGGTGGGAAGTTCAAGCGGGGGAAACTCTGAGAAACGATCAGGTCCAGGAACTCACCATTGCCTGACGTCGGTACTCGTCGAACGGTGAATTAAGGCGCCATAATGCTCCTCTATGACATGCGTTTGATGAAGTATCGAGCGTTCCTGTCAGACAGATGCCACTTTCTTCGACTGAGCTGACACGCCTCTGGCGCTGTGCAGATCTCGAGAAAATTGCGCAGATTTTGGTCCTCCTCCTCGACGTCGCATTTCCATTGCCGCCGCTCTATTGACGCTTGAATAACGCTCGTTACGTGCGCTGTAATGAGAAAATGCATGTACTGTACTGGATTCTGAGAGCTCTGACAATATTCTTCCCTGGAAGAACACTTCCAGTCCCGCTCCGATACGACAATGCATACGTCCCGGCCGCGTCCATGCATCTCTAATAAAATGGAGACGGACCCGCCATAGAACAAACAACCATCCGGAGCAGAAGGGAGACGTTACTCTGCTATCGGGCCTTGTTCTGATCGTAGACGAGCATCTGCATCTTTGGCCGGCCGGGCTATTGGCCGAATACGTCATGGACCTGCCAGAAACCTGTAAAGCGCGGCCTTCGCATTACAACGCACCCGGACCCACATTGTCACTTTGACTCAATTTGGAACAAGTCGCGCCGAATGTGAGTGAGTGTTTGCTGTCACTGGCGACTGCGAAATTCCTCACGGTTCCCGGTCGTAAATCGTTCCCTCAAGTTAAGCCTGTGTCCCGTGCACTCGCCTATGCTCGTTCACTTACGGCCGGACTTGGAATACGCGAACACACCAGCAAACACGCCGAGAGGATAGTCGCCCAAGGATTATCCGTATTTCAGGATTAGATTGCCACAGTCGCTGCCCTAGCGATTCGACAGCGCTAGACGGGACTTGAGCGAGCGACGAGGCGAGTGTTGTTCGTCGTCTAGGGATTTCAAGTTTTTCCCCTCCCACTCTGAGGAGGTAGGCGATGGAACGAGGCGGAATATAAATTATTTTTTTCTGAGGTTAATGCCGGCCCCAGTGACAAGTTTCACGATGCTGTGCCGCCTCGCTGACGATCGACGGCGCCGAATGTGAAATTCTGGGGAAAGTTTCCGAGCGACTGAAATTCGCTCACGAGCAACACTGAGGTACCTACTGTGGCCACCTTCGCGGCGTAATATTATTGGACCGGTGATGAAATTTCACCGAATCATGACTTTCTATAAGTTTGTTTCTCGACGAGCCTCAACGCCCCGCATGGGCTGCCCTTCCAAATTCATGCTTGAGCACCTCGAGCGAGCGCGTGCCGTGACCGCTCCGCCGGAGACGGCGAACAGACTGTCATTCTTCCGTGCAGAATCAACTAGAGCATTTGGGCGCCTCAAATCGTATCTACGCGGCGCCGACCTCGAGTCTCAGCGCTTCCGCGTCTACAGCCTTACCTCGCTCGACAGGATGTCCTGCTCAGGGCATTTGTTCCATCCATGGATGTTTTTGCATCACTTATGCACCCACCAGAATTTGAGATTTTCAATGGGGCTCAGCTCGCGGGGCATTCGGTCCTGATTTCTTCTCAGCGACAATGAAAATCACATTGGAGACAGGTGCTCACCTACTTTTCACCAATCGTCACAGCACATGAAACTGACACAGCGGCCGGCACAGTCTGCGCCAACCTGACCGACTACTCTCGCATCGACTTGATCGCTCGCTCCTACGCTAGCTGGAAGTTGGCTGGATGACTGCTTGCCCGGGATGGTACTCGTTCTCTCTTTGCCACAACAGTTGAACGTCATTCTGCGTGCCACGGAGGAGAGAGAATCGCCCGGGGCGATCGAATCCGACCTAGAACTAGCGCCACTCACTGCTTCCACTCTCAGCGCGACGCGCGAATTCTGTTTGCGTGTCCACAGCATGCGAATGGCACTTCGCTTCACCTCACTTTCTCCGACTGCCGTCGCGCGGCGATCCTTCTGGGTCTACCGAGATGCAGAATCATTTTCCGGCGACAGGACTTAAGCTTCGAGAGCGTTCCGGATCATGAAGCCTTCGGGCGACCTTTCCTTTTCGCATGAGGCTGAGAAATCTCCCGAGGGGTTCGTGAAGCTCTCCCTAAGGGTTCCGATGAGCTTTCTTGGAGAATGTGAATACTCTTAGAATAGTATTTCTATCCTTCTCGAATCGGGCGACTACTCATTCAAGGGTACTACATCATCCTCCATCCTGCCAGTGATAGACCCGTCTGCCTGCGTCATCTGCTTAGGAGGTTTCACTGCCGCCGATTCCGTGGAGCTGAGGTGCAGAGACTTGCAGACCTCTCTCTTACCGGACCCGACTGCCATTCAGTCCGGGGCGCAATGAATCATGTGATAACCCAAGAATATTGTGATTTCCGGAAGTTATTCATTGTGAGTTTTTGTTGAGGTCAAGGTTGTTGAACTCTTGTTCGTTCCTCCCGGAGAGGAGGTCTCCCCTTGAGAACATGCTCCCGTTCGAGCGTGACGGCTCTACAATGCCTCACTTACATGGATTGAGTCACCTTTATCTCAAAGAAGTGTTTGTCGAGGGCGAGCCCTTCCTCCGCAGAATCGAAAAATCGGCGATAATCCGTAGGAATAATGCGCTTTCCGTTCTCTGTCGGGGATCGCTCGCTCAGCTTCCGGTGCTGATCGATCCGAGATCCGATGTGGTCTAAGGCCAGTAAGCGCTACCGATCACTCGCAATGCCAATCTTCGACAAAGACTCGGCGCTACATGTGGAGTATCGGGGGCTTGCAGGGGACACTCAAACCCCAGTAGCGTGACGTCGGAACCCTATCGATGCGTTAATCGAAAGGAGAAAATTCGATTCCCAAGTGACTCCGAAGGAATCCCCGGATTCAGCGTATGCCTGAATTCCTCTGTCTTCTCCAAATCAGAGAGCCTAGGAGAAAATTATTCAGTCGTTCCTTATTCAACACTCAATCTCTGATGGTGGAGCACGGAGCACTCATCCTGCCGCGAATATTCCGGGAGAACCGAACACCTAGCAGCTAGCGGACTCGGTCAAATTTTATCGAGAGAGACTTTGATCACGATCCTCTCAATAAATGATCACTCCGTCATTCGATGTTCCCCAAAAATCTTTGAGAGGTTCTCCAAGATCCATTCCCCTCTCGCTGAGCAATTTCCTCCTCGAATCTGCGTCGGTCGCCTCTCGGTCAGGTAGGTACATTGCAAATGTGCAAGTTCACTCCATTCAGCGCAGAAACCGAATGGTAGTGGGTCCAGAATGGATATCGAAGGACGTCCGAAAATCGATGGAGATCCTTGAGGGGTCTTCCGAGACTCTTGAGGGGCCTCTCTAAGCTTCATTACATTCATATCAAGCGGTTCCGATTAGATGAGGCTCACGAGGTTGGAGTAATTCAGCTTTTTCCGCATCGGAAACTAGGAGTCGCCGGAATTACGACGGCCCTGCCAGACGAAGACGATGCTTTCCTCCTCTGCAGAAAGCGACCGCGGTTCCTCGCGGCTCTGCATCGCGAGGATCCAAATCCGCTGCTATTGGAGTAAGCATGCGTTTCCGCGAATTACATGGGGACTCCACGAAACCAAGAGAGGCAAGGGGCCATGTCCTAGTCTGCCGCCCCCCAAAAAAAAAATTCTGCGAACGCTACTGGCTGCTGTATATATCATTCATCAGCGAAGAATCTATATCGGAGCTCATCGAGTTCCCCGAACGGCGGAAATCTACAAGGTCAGTAAGCCAGCAATCTGGTTCAGGGTTCAGGAACCTCTCTATATGGGAACCTCCACCCTCGAACTCCCTCCGGAGGGAGCGTGTAATTCTCCAGGATTTCCATGAGAGGATATTATCCAGGAGTTGAATAGAGAGGACTCTCAAATCCCATGTTCGAGATCAATCTTTCGACTTCTCTCTTTCATATTCAAACGTCGAGCTCGACAGGGCGAGGGACATTCATCAAGATCGAACGGATCGGAATCCATGGATCGAAGGTCTGATTTCCTCACCGTCGTTGCATTACAAACGTGCTTCCATCGATTACGAAATGCTTCGGAAGTATAAATGCTGATGATGTGGTCGTCGGGAATCAAAGCTATTCAGCTCGGGAATTCGGAGGCGTTCCTCCGACTGAGTGAGAGGCGGCGATGATTGAAACCTTTTTGCAGCCAATCGCATTGGAGAAATAGGCAGTCGATTGTCGCAACCTCGGAGGTTGACAGGATCCTGTGGATACTAGCGGAAACGTCCGATACCAATGAAATCGACGCTCGGGACTTCCCGGAGAACCCTACAAACAACTGGCGACCCCGCTGTCTGTCAGGACAACATGACGCGAGATGTATGAAGTAATCGATTCGAGCCGCAAGATAACGTTCCGATTTGGAGAGGAATTCTTCGAGATGGCATCTACTACGATACGCAAGCGAGATATGCGTTCCGCTCCCGGAAAGATATGACTTCAGAAAGAACGCAATCATGCGAAAGCCTGACGCGCACGTGGCATTGGGTCACTGCGGCATTCAGAAGGTCTGTCACACAGCTGCAGTCGACCGATTGTCCGCAACCTACGTCAACGACAGCGTAAACGTCGGTCGGCCTTCTCGAACATCATGTATAGCTTAAGCCATAGCAAGCACTAGCCGGTTGTAGAGAACCAGATTCCCCAAGTTTCGCTGCGGCACGAAAAAATACGCGAGTTGCGTAGTCGGTGTGAATCGGCTGCGCTCGATCGGAGCCTCCGATGCGATCGTATTTGCGCGGAATATCCGACTGAAATCTCAAATGAAACAAATGAACGGACTCTGGAAAGAAATAGCACGTCTGACGAGGTGAGATTATGCTCCCATCAACATCCGTGCGTGGGAGTACGGTCACGTTTCGCTTCGCGATAGTTTGCCAGACTATCGGCATTGACCCGCCGACCCCGAGAGCCGGACAGGGTGGGCAGCGGTGAGTAGCGGTTTAGAGCTCGGTCACTTCCTCGACGTCTTCGGAGCACTCCCCGCGCTTGACAAGAACGATCCCAGGCCTCTTTTGTCAAGTACCTAAAAAGCAAGGCCCAGTGAGGATTCCTCGCGGAAGATTTTTGCTCATGGGAAATACTCGTCCAGAGCTAGCAATGAGGGAACTGTGACAACCCTGGCAGCGGTCCATCAGACCAGTGAACGGGGCTTCGGATTATCACCCAGTTCTGACCTGAGGATCGACCGCCCGATTGAACCGGAGTCATCGACTGGTCAAGTTGCTCCCACTGATCGGTCCATCACCTACGTCGTGTTTGGAGCAGACGGCGCGGCGTCACCTTATTATTCCCTCGTCGGAATGCTCCGCGCGTAGTCCTAGAGCGACCTGCGGAAATTCAGGCTGGGGACCCGGAAAAGCGGCAGGTCATACTCCTGAAGGGGATGGCCATAGAAAAAGCATAGGCGACCGAAACTTGTGAACGTTCCCGGACTTCGGCAAATATTTCAACTTTGAGTGATGAGTAGTCATTCAGCCAAGGTAGGTATTTCACCGTTTACCGACCCCGATTCTCCCGGTACAGGGGAAGCTGGTTATTCCGGATCAACACTGGTTTATGGA